AGTCCCTTGTAACTAAAAAAAATCTATTTTTTTCTCTAATTGTTTTTAATTCGTTTTTAAGTGTTTTTTCGACTTCATGGGGTCTAATAAGTAGCGAAAAACCCAAAACATGGGCCAAATCGGATTATTTGGCAAAGTTAGCTATTGAACGTTTTCCGTCTATATGGCCTATAAAAGCCTAATATCGGCAACTTTTCCGGGACTAACTTTTTCCCTATGGGAGATTTCTCTGTTCTATTTTTTTCCACATGTGTAGAGGGCCCAGGTGCATATGTGTGCAAAATTTCAGCGTTGTAACTTTTTAACTTTTCAAAATAAAAATTTATTTGTGTATAAGCACATTTGGTGCAGGAGTCCATTGTAACTAAAAAAATTCTATTTTTTTCTGTAATTGTTTCTAATTCGGTTTTAAGTGTTTTTCCGACTCCCTGGGGTCTAATTAGTAGGAGAAACCCAAAACATGGGCCAAATCGAATTATTTGGAAAAGTTAGCTATTGCACGTTTTTCGTCTATACGGTGTATTAGAGCCAAATATCGCCAACTTTTCCGAAGCTAACTTTTTTCCTATGGGAGATTTCTCTGTTCTGTTTTTTCCACATGTGTAGGGGGCCCAGGTGCATATGTGTGCAAAATTTCAGATTTGTAACTTGGTAAGTTTTCAAAATAAAAATTTTTTTGTGTTTAAGCACATTTCGTGCAGTAGTCCCTTGTAACTAAAAAAATTCTATTTTTTTCTCTAATTGTTTTTAATTCGGTTTTAAGTATTTTTCCGACTCCCGGTGGTCTAATTAGTAGGAAAAACCCAAAACATGGGCCAAATCGGAATATTTGGCAAAGTTAGCTATTGCACGTTTTCCGTCTATATGTACTATAATGGCCGAATATCAGCAACATTTCCAGAGCTAACTTTTTCCCTATGGGAGATTTCTCTGTTCATTTTTTTTTCACATGTGTAGGGGGCCTAGGTGCATATGTGTGCAAAATTTAAGCTTTGTAGCTTGCTAAGTTTTCAAAAAAATAATTTATTTGTGTATAACCACATTTCGTACAGTAGTCCCTTGTAACTAAAAAAAATCTATTTTTTTCTGTATTGTTTTTAATTCGTTTTAAGTGTTTTTTCGACTCCCTGGGGTCTAATAAGTAGGGAAAAACCCAAAGCATGGGCCAAATCGGATTATTTGGCAAAGTTAGCTATTGCACGTTTTCCGTCTATATGGCCTATAAGAGCCTAATATCGGCAACTTTTCCGGCGCAAACTTTTTCCCTATGGGAGATTTCTCTGTTCTAATTTTTTCCACATGTGTAGTGGGCCCAGGTGCATATGTGTGCACAATTTCAGCTTTGTAGCTTGGTAAGTTTTCAAAATAAAAATTTATTTGTGTTTAAGCACAGTTCGTGCAGTATTCCCTTGTAACTAAAAAATCTATTTTTTTCTGT